TAATATAATGCACAATATTAAAGTATGGCTCGGATACAATTCTCTCAGTTTGTTAATGCATCAAATGTGGCGACTATCTTAATATCTATATGACCAAAAAAACATGCCATGTGGCGTTCCAGCTTAGTATTAGCTTTCTATTTCCTTTCTTGATTATCTTACTAATCTGCAGGTAGTATATGTAGATTTTTTCGCTGTAGCAATACTCTTATTAGGATGCGCATTAGCTTGCTACGGTATGGAACTATCCTTTGTACTGGAGTTTGGTTATCTTAGCATCTTCGCTCATAATTCTCGATCTCAGTTTCATCGAAAAATACTCTGTCCTCCAGCTATTGCCTTATTCTTGCATCAGAACCAAGGATCGCCTCCCATAATACTGCTGTCTGATAGTTTTTTATCTCTCTAAAAGAATCGCTTTCATAGTGAAAGTACAAAAAGGCAGAACAAAAAATACAGGTCAACTTGAATATAGGAGCCATGAAAAAATAATTACAGCTATTTCTTACATATTTTATTAGATCTTAAAAAACATTTTCCCTTTTGTGTTAACTTTGATGTCCAGGACTGCTATTGTTCTTGAAAATGAGAAAGGTTAGATCTGAGAGGGCATCATCTGAAATATTGAAGGTAGCAGACTAATTATTTTTTTCCTTTACCTCTTTTAATTCTTAATTCCTACTTTATTAGACTAATGAAATACAGAAACTCATAATACTTCACTCTTCAATAGTGTCGGGATTGCGGTTTCATGCACCTTTTAGTTATGTTCTTAAGACATTAAATGCTGCGTTCATCTTATTACTTGGAAATTATTCTGTTTTGTTCCAGGTTGCAGGTTTAGCTGCGATTTCTGTCATATGCTTCACTTCGAGTGCACTCGTAGCTCTTTTAACTAATATACCGGTATACGCTCTATTTAACTATGTCCTCTAGTTTTCTTAAGAAAAAAGACAAACGACAAAAGAAAACGACGTGCTTGATAGTTTTGTGGAACAGTGAATTTTACTCATCATTATGATTGCAGGGACTGTATCAGTGGCGACAATATCACATTTATGGTGCATCTGCATATACTTCTATTTTGCTGATTACATACTATTTTATAGGTATATGATGCTAATTTTCCATTTCAAGTACTCGATAAAAGAAAGTTCTCACATTGAAAGATGATATAAGCTTTCTTAAAGTTAGTATGGGTATTGGTATGGAAAATGTCAACTTCTTGTCCCACAATTGTTTAGTTCGTTTGGACTCGAGTTTGATCGGGAACAAGCTTAAACACTGTTGAAAGATGTTTAATCATTAGATTGTTTGTTTAGTTTCATAAAGACACAAGTTTTTGATAAGCAAGAAGCCGATGTTATAATTCTTGAGGACAGTTTTTCTAGGGAGCTTCTATATTTTCTTACTCTGCGCGTTATTATTTCACTTTTACTTGGAAATAGGAAGGGACGACTCTTCAATATGTGCCGATCTTATGCCAATTAATTAGAACTCCAAATTTTTCTTCAAAATTTTGATATGAAGCAGACTACTATGCCAGGATCATCAATACCTTCAGCATTTGTTCTTTGGATCACGAGAGAATTACCACCATGGATAGCAGCTAGTGCCCAAGAACAAGCGACAATAACCTTCAGTCGGGACGGTTCTGCAGCTGTGCGTCGTCCTCAACAATGGACTTTGACAACAAATGCACCGGTTTGTACTTGTAGAATTATTTGGGTCCTGTTTATCATGATTTTTGTTTTTGTGTTTTGTATTTTTGATAATTATGGTTGCTTCCTCTTAATTTCTTTGGATGTCTTTTACCTTTCTTGAAAACATATTTGAATTCTTAGTCAAATTTTAAAGACAAAAACAAGTTTTTAAAAGTTACTTTTATTTTTATTTTTATTTTCCAAATTTTACTTTTGAAAAAAACTTTTTAAAGAGTAGATGACAAAACAAAGAAATACACAGGCGAAAGTATGGTATATAAGCTTAATTTTAAAAAACAGAAAACACAAAACTAGATGTGAAATGGTTATCAAATGAGTTATTAATTACTCTTTCATCTCTACATTCATTATTTTGGATGTGTGCTTGAAAGCGGTCATGGAAGTTGTTTGTCATTGCCTTTCAATTGTAGGTATCGAGGGCTAGCCCCATATGAATGCTTTCGAGATGCAAGTTTACTGTCTGCCATTTCGAAAGCGTGCCAGAATCGCCGATCGACTGACCCCGAGAAATGATATTTGATTGTTATGTAGATATGATTGCAACCGTTGTGAAATGTGCTTGTGATCAGTATCGAAAAAATCCGTAAGGTGCTGTTATATGATGCTGTAAACGTGTATATATACTTATCTTGCATATTGCCTTGATCAAATGTTAATAGAATATCTGAATATCCCGAGCTAACCACTGATTTTGCCGTTTCATTCTCGTCGAGATGTACATTTGCTACTTGGAGATCCATGGCAGCATTCTTTTTATGTATTCTTGTCACACTTTGTAGAAAAAATAAACAGAGAGATATTTGTGGTAACTTCAACAGTATGAGTCTTGATCAACAACAGATTTTTCTTCGCCTTTCGATCGAGCATTGCCCTGTTTCTTTATTCTCCATGCCAGTTTTTCTGAGAAGGGTTTGTAAATCTTCGCCATTTTCTCGACCTCCCTCGACTCGAATCAGGTCAAGAACTTAGCAGAGTAGCAGATTTCCAGTACAGCAAAAAGCACTAACTGAATCAACATTTGATACAAAGAACTCTCGTAATGTTTCAACAACACCAGCCAACCATTTTCACGACAACGAGATCGGGTCACATTACGTCGTAGTCCCGGAGAAGTTTTGAACCATAGTTGTTGGTAGTCGGTTCCTCGATGCAGCTTCAACACATCAGATTTGATACCTACAATGGTTGATAGCTTTATTTGTGATGGCAAAAGTACTCGTTTAGATGCCAAGAGGTAGAAGCACTTTGAGTTCCCTCAATGCACCTTCTGTAGCTTTTTTTTTCCCTCGATTTTAGAAGTTGAAGTTTAGTGTTTTCAATTATGACTAATCATTATATGTAATCTCATTTTCAACAGCTATATCCATGTTGGCGATCTCATTCTCAATTGTAAAAGATAGTAATTCAGTGTCCTATACCTTTTCAATAGCTTGATTTTTTTTCCCTGGTGTGGTTGAAGTTTAAAAATAATTGAAAGATAGGCAAATTTTTGGGAAAAAGCAATGTATTTTTTTAATTTTATTTAATACAACTCGTGGAATTCAATAATTGTAGTTTAAATGTACAGTTTTTCACTTTGACATACCGATTCTTAAAAAATAAAAATTTAAAAAACATATAAAACAATATATAAAGCCATGAAAGGATCTTTTCAACTAAAGTGGACCAAGTCATCTCTTGAAACAACATGTTTTGAATTTTAAAAAGATTAATTAATCACTATGTACGTGAATTTCATAACAAATAAGTTTGAGAGTGAGAATATTTTAAGAGTTGTTCTAAAAGTAGTAATATATATTTTTTAAAATCTAATAAATTGTATAAAATTTTACCTTAAAATTATTAGCGTTAGCCATTTTTTTTAAAGGCAAGGGCGTTACCATTTTTTTAATTTCATTTTATTATAAAAATAGAAAATTTAAAATGACCAAAATAAAAAATTCATACCCAAAAGAACACCCAACTGATTCCTCGCAACTTTTGAAAATTACGTTTCCCAATGATCAATCGGGAGTCGTTTTAGACTTGGTAGACGGCGTTCAATCTTTTGGAGCTAGCACTCCTTTCCCAACTTTATGGAGCAGCTGAAATCATTGGTGCCGGAAAACTTGAAGCAGACGGTGGGTTCAAGCACCGCCGAAGATCTTCCTTCGTCGTGTTCTTCCCTACTACGCCTGTTTCAGAAGTTGGAGCTCTTCTTCCAAGTAAGCTCGGTTGAAAATGGCCTCATATCTCTGTTCCATTTCTCACTCAAAAAGTAGGTAAATTTAGCTTCTGGGTTATACTTACAAGTAACTTAACTTGCGAGGAATATGGGCAATTTTTTATGTTGGGTTTTGTCCCTTAACGTCTCAGGTCATCGGAGACTTGGCAATGGATCCTGAAAAGGCTCTCTGTGGGAAGAAAAAGGACGCTGCTCTGGAGTTGAAGCGCCAGGGCAATCAATGTTTTTTAAAAGGGGATTATGCTAATGCGTTGGTTCATTATTCCCGGGTACCCAAGTTACACTTAATATTGTAACTGTAATGGAGTTATTATATTTTTTTCTTTCAGTTTTTTGGCAAAGGAGGAATATTATCTTGATAAGAGACACCGCCAATATGTCATTAGTAAATAAGGGGGAATACAAAATATTACAAATTTATGTTGAAACCATGAGTGCGAGAAAAAGATTACAAAGGGGGCTAGGGGGATGAGACATCTTCCCGAGCAGGGGATTTATAGGAAACATCCTCAATCAAGGTTGATGATGAATTGTGGATTGATTTCAGGATTGATTTACAACTTTAACTTACAACAAAGGAAGGAAAACAGGTTTTTCCAGTGCCTATATATATGCAGTGGGTTATTCACATTCTTTGTTTCTGGATTGATTTTCACTGCACCAGTACACATCACTAGTTTTCAACCTTTTTGACTGGGACTTCATGTTTCCCTCCTGTTCTTATAACATCCACAGGCACTGCAACTTGCTCCTATGAATGCTGTTGACATGAACAAGAATTTGGTTGCAACCTTATATGTGAATCGAGCATCGGTTTTGCATGTGAGTTTCAATCCTTATCCAGCAGATTTATATTCAGCCTAAAACTTTATAATGCCACTCTCTCTCCCTCTCTCGAATAATGAATTGGTAAATTTGGTAATTGTTGTTTCCCATCATTTATTGGTCGACACATCCACATGTGTGTGCGTGCCCCCTCTTAGAGACTTGCATTACTTCTCATAATTAGTTGGAATTTAAATTGAATGAAATGCATAATTTGCTAGATAATCCATACTCTTTTAGTAAGCTGTAAAGGGTATTCGTCTCAACTCAACTGTGGGTGTATGTCAAACTGCCATCTAAGATATCATTGTTGAGATATTTTCTTTGGTTTGGCGTCAAACTTTATTTTTTTTAGTGGTTTTGTTAATTATCATTCTATAAGAAAAATTCGAATCTTTAAATATCAAATTATTTGTCTTTTTGTACTTTCTAAAGCCTTATATTTTTCTCATCTCTGGGCCAGTAGTTCATGTGGTATGCGGTCGATATGGATATCTTGTTACTCTACTTTCCTTAGTTTTCTAGTATGTGTATGGAGTTATCTTCTCTATTGTTATCTAAAGCTTCGTTTTCAAATCCCTTTGGCTTTGGATACACATTTAGGTTCCTCCATTGCCACTAATCCATCTGCTTTATGCTCTCTGTAGAAAATGGATCTGCAATTGGAGTGTGTACGAGATTGCAATAGAGCCCTTCAAATTTCATCAACCTATGCAAAGGTGACTCTAATTTCGTTTGATATACTTTCCTTGGATAATATTAGTGACAAAGAATAGAAGGCATTCCGTGTAGTTCAATTGTTGTTAAATTCTTCCCTTTGTCTTATTATTGCCACATTTTGTTATTTCTTTTCTGTAGGCATGGTACAGAAGAGGTAAAGCAAATGCTACTGTGGGAAATTTTGATGATGCTGTCCGTGACTTTCATATTGCTGAGAATGTGGAGATGTCATTCAATGGAAAGAAGCAGATAGAAGATGAGCTGAAGGTCATTCAAGATCAGCACAAGAGGTCAAATATAGTAATTGAACATAGCAAGAACAAATTGGATAAGTTTGGTATGCTAGATGATACTTATATCTAATGTTTAGTTCTTTATGGTAATTTTATTGAATAAAAACTCTAGAATTTTTCTTTGCATTGATTTATTGAGCTTAGATTTTTAAGTGCAATGACACTATTAAAAATTAGAGGTGGGCGTAAAGAATTGAAGGAACAAAAAAGCATTTTCTTATGTTTCAGTTTCGAAAAATGCCAATGGTCCGCTTGCTCTTTGACCTGAGTTCTTGCCTTTTCTGAAAATTTGAATACTTGGAGATGGAAGAATTGCTCATGTTTTCTAAACTGGAAGTATTTTTTTTACCTTCTTCCTCTATTGATATAAGGGCTGGTTGGGAGAATGTTCAACTTTATTCTCTTCCAAATCCCGTTCAGCACTATAAAGCTCAAAGGGGGACCCTCAGCTGAACTGGTGCTTCTGTTTATAGATTTTCCGGAAGGAGCCAAGCTCCTGTCGCTGAAATACTCTTTTTCCAGACAAATTTTTGGTGGTCATTTTTTGGATGCATTGATGTCAAGCTAATCTTTCCTAATTGGGGGGAATAAGCCTTTTTAATATGTCTCTGTAGAGGTCCTCTAGGGGCAGTTATGGTGGTAAGGGCTTGGGATGCTTGAGGAGAAGTTTTCCAAGGTCTTGGGATTGAGCCTTCTGGTGGAAGGCCTAATAAATGAAAACACTTTTTCCTTGGAGGTAGAGTTTGGTGTGAAGTCTCCTCATGAAGTAGCGGGGATGGAGGATACTACGAATCTAACAAAAGAAAAAACTGTGTGGATGTTTGTGGAGAGCCCACAAAATATGGGGATTCGATTGTTTTTGTAGCTTCGTTGGAGATCTAGTTACCTTCCTGCCTCCAATCGGAGTGTGTTTCTAAAGATCCTTTGAAGCTTTTTATATATTTTGTCTTCTTTAATGTAATATATATTTCTTATTTTAAAAAATAAAATAATCTGGAGACTTCAAACAAAATAACCTAGTTTTGATATTCTGTCTTTTATGGATAGGTGCCCAAAAACATTTTGGTTCCTACTTCCTATGTGTGTGTAGAACATAGCCCATAGGTACTCAGTTACTGGTTAAAAACTAGCTTGTTATGTGTAACAGATGAGCCAATCCAAGTAAAATTACATGTCACCACATCGAATAAGGGGAGAGGGATGGTTTCACCCACTGAGATACCTCCATCTTCCATGGTCCATATTGAAGAACCTTATGCCTCGGTGAGTACATGCTTATCTTCTGAATTATGGGGAATGCAATTTTGTGCCTGTCTCGGGTTTTCTTCCTTTTCTTTGGAGTTTGACAAGTTCTCTCAATTTTTCACCTTGTACTGCCATGAGGTCTAAAACTTACATGACTGTAACTTTATATGAGTTTTTCCCCCCAGCCCATTGGACATCTTAATGTGTCCAGACTATATTTTCTCGAGGAAGTTATTCTGTGAATGGTTTCTCAATATTAGAAGCAAACTCTTCTACTTATAGCAAAAGGGAGATGGGTTGGATGTTAAGTAATCTCAATTAGGCCTCAGTTCTTCAATCTCAAATGTTGAAGGAAGATTTAAGGGCATTCTGTTAACCTTAAAGTTGACTTTTTAAAATTCTCTATGAAGTTCTGTTGTTTTTTTCTTAACATAGATTAGTCATAATGCTAGCTAGGAGTGCACATTGATTCAATTTGGTCAGACTTTTTACCAAATTGAAAACCAAATCCAAGTACTCAGTTATTTAGTTTTCTTAATTAAGTGGCCAAGCGAACTGGTCATGTAATGGGGATAGAATCTGGTTTTGAACTGAGCCAATCATGCTGGTGTAGTTCACTTCTTTTGAGACTATTGGCCTTATTTCACATAAACAACTCTAAACCCAAACCCTGTGGTGTACTTTCTCCCACCCAATTCCATGGTAGCTAGGACAGAGTTCTCTTCTCTGTTCAGGGGCACTCTAAAGGCTTTGCAACCTCCATAGCTGGTGGATAACAGTCTGGTCAGTTCCTTGTCTTTTTAGAAAGTTCAGTTCTTGTCATCATCTGCCTTTTTACTTCGACCACTTTTGTACTTTTTGGTATAGGCCTCTTAGATTTCATCGAAACTGCAGTTGAAATCTATAATATTTTCTCACTTTAAAGACTGTTATATAATTCATCACATAACCTATTTTTCCTTAACAAATTTAAAATATAAACCAACTATAATCTAAAGAGGTATTAAAATTATAAAATACTCAACCTAAATTCATATTTTCCTGCTTTAATGGTCATATAACATTTACTTTGATTTTGACTGGCAGGTAATATTGAAGCATTATAGAGAAACTCATTGCCATTACTGCTTTAATGAACTACCAGCAGATAAAATACCCTGTCCATCATGCACAATTCCTCTGTACTGCTCACAACATTGCCAAATACAAGCAGGGGGGCAAATGTTACAAGCTCCTCCAGATAATCAAGATATTTTAAAAAATCTATCTGATGACCTCCAGAAGTATGTTCAAGAAATAACTTCACACGGTTTTGCTGACATTAGGACTGAAGATGTTCCTGAACATAAACATGAATGTGATGGTGTGCACTGGCCTGCTATATTGCCATCTGAGATTGTTTTGGCTGGGCGAATAGTGGTCAAATATGTAGCACAAAAAGGTGGCTTTGCAGATGCTTCTAGCGTTGTGGATATGTTGGTACTTCTGATGACTATATATCTCTATTAATCGTGTTTGATATCTTAGCCCTTAAATATGATATCTACTGAAAGCTCATTCAGACATTTTGTTGTAGAATCTTTCACACCATTTTTCACAAATGCCTACTGATAGCAAGCTGGAGTGTATCATATATTCCATAATATTGTTAAGTTGTCTTCAGCAATTTTTCCCTTCTCAACTTCCAATTAATGGGAACTCTATCTCGCAGGTTGGTTGATTCTTGCTCCCTTCATCTGTTCTTGAAAGAATGAAAAACGCCCAATTTACTAGAATAAAAATGTTCTCTTTCGGGAAAAGGTTGTCTGCTCTTTTATCTTCTGTAATATGTAAATGCTTGCACAACTGTGCCCTTTTTCTTTTGCCTTTAAATATTATATATTTTCAGACACTTACATTCTCATGTTTTGCCTTCTCTTTTTCATTTCTCTTCTTTTCTTTTTCCATGATGAAAGCTGAAATCTAATAAACCAATACAAATATTTCTAGTTATATTAATTTGTTAAAATTGTCAATAGTTCCATCAGTGTACTTTATGTGGTACATGATTGTGAGATGGATCATTTGCTCTATCATTGCAGATTGTCATACTTATATCCCAAATTAGGACAAACTCTATATCTATTGTCCGTATTAAATCCTTTGATGCACCCGGATCACCAGATCAGCGTGGAGTATTATCTAGCACGGTTCCTTTTACTTGTAATATGGAACAAGTAAGCTCATAATACTACGTATTTGACCTCTATTTCTATATGGTTCCAATCTTCCAATTGATTTACATTGTAAATCCTTTGTACTTGGCACTTCCTTATTGTGGTTTATATTCTTATAGGTCAGAGTAGGTCAAGCTATTTATACCACTGGAAGCTTGTTTAACCATTCCTGCAAACCAAACATCCATGCATATTTCAACTCACGTACTCTCTTTATACGGACAACCGAGTTCGTGTCAGTCGGGTGTCCCCTAGAGTTGTCGTATGGTCCCCAGGTTTGCCTCTACTCTTGAAACTTGAGTCTGTCTTCTTTTCTTAATCATGGTATTTGCTGCTGCGTTCTTTTTACTTTTCTTTCAAAAACATAAATATTGCTACTTTATTTTCTGATCAATTGACATTACTAAGCATGATGCTCTTCAAAACCAAATGTACCTCCTTTACAGGTTGGTCAATTGGACTGTAAAGACCGGCTTAAGTTGCTAGAGGATGAGTACTCTTTTAAATGCCAGTGTAGTGGTTGCTCATTGGTGAACATATCTGACCTTGTCCTTAATGCGTTTTGTTGCATTAATGCTGATTGCCTCGGAGTAGTCCTGGATAGATCCGTCTTCGATTGTGAAAATAAGAAAATCCAGGACTTCCATTCAGTCGACAAGCTAAGTAGGCTGGAGCCTTTCATTCAGGTATCCTAAATTTCTTTTATGCTTTAAACCGAAACTTCTAAATATTTGAAAAGTTACAATGTTTTGACTCAACAAAATCAAGAAAAAATCAACTCTCTCACCAGAACAAGTCACTCGCCCTACCCCATTATAGAAGAAACGATCCCAATTACTAATACTATTTGAAGAAGAATGACCACCAAATTCATTGTTCTAAAGAAACTCCAAGAGAACAACTAAAAATGGATAAAGCACCTCTTCCCAAATCCTTAGTCCTATCCTTGAACACTCAATTATTCTTTCTAGCAATATATTCCACAATGGTTTGAGATAGGTTTAACTTCATGTTTTTACTAAGTTTAACAATGGTTTGGGCAAGTGACTAATGCTATTGCATCTCTATAGAGTGGCAGCTTCCTTCATATTGGTCATAGCCATTGTTTGAAATGTGGATTTTATCGCGATATAAAATCGTCCCAGTCAACAGTGGATGAGGCCTGGATTTACTTTACAAGGTAACGCCCTGATGCAATGTTGTCCAAGTTCATTAGTGTTAGTCATATTTGTATTCTATAATTGCTTATTACAAGAGAATTCTTGCTTCTCTCGACTGGAGCCGTGTTGTTTCGAATTATGTTCAATACAAAACATGTTCTAGATCTTAAAAGCTATAAGTACATAAGTTTTCCATGGGTTTGAATATCTGGCTAACTGATTTTACACAGGTTACAGCAGGAAATAAATTTAAATAGGGTGTCAGAAACTACACTCTCAGATGCTTTAAGAGCTCTGTTCTCACTGAAATCTACACTGCATGCATATAATAGGCGCATAGCAGAAGTGAGTTATTCTCTTTCCATATCGAACACTATGTGCTATTGGTTCTTTTTTCATGCTAGAATGTTAGAGACGCTCGAATGTTAGAGATATTCATGTCGAAGTGATTGTAGAGTGGACAATGCAGCTGCAATCCTAGCTGAGCAATGCTAGGCCCATAACCATGGGCGACTATTAGTGCTATATTTAATCGTCTGTGATTAATCCTTGTAGGCAGAAGACCATCTGTCGCAGGCTTTCTGTTTGATTGGAAAACTAGAGCTTGCAGCCGACCATTGTAAAGCATCGATTCGGGTATGCTTTCTTTTTGGAGTTATGTAATTACTTGTTGGAAGCTAATTGCTACAAAGTAAACTTGTTTTAATATGCTCCATTTTTTCTTTTGTGATAATCATGCCTAGAGATGCCCTGTATACCATTTATAATTTTAGAAGTTCATTATAAAAGACTTCTAGATTTAGTTAATTTAAATGTTGTGCTACATCAGGGTAATCTTTGGAACTGAATAGAAACCGAATCCGCATCTGTGACAGAACAAAACCTCATCAATACAAACCTCTGCTCAATCGGGTTCTTTTGGAAAAATATCATCTAGTTTGAATCACATGTCGAACTTTCTGCTATTGAATGTTTCTTTTTCCTTCTCTTTTTAAGTTTCAGGCAACACATTTTGCTGCCCACATTTTTTCATCTCAACTCACCACCTTGGTTCTATTCGGAGTAAATGAAATCTAATCCTCCTTTGCTCGCTTTTGCAGATACTGGAAAAGTTGTACGGCGAAAGCCACATCGCCATTGGCAACGAGCTCTTGAAGCTTTCTTCCATCCAGTTATCTCTGGGAGACCACACTACTGCTGGGGACTGCATTAACCGATTGAATGGAATTTTCAGGTGCTATTATGGATCTCATGCCAAGAGAATGTTTCCATTTTTGAACATCTAGGAGGAAGAAACTCAGAAATTTGTCAGCACAGATCTTTGGTCATTGCGATGGCTTCCAGTTCTTGATTGTTACAAGTCGTAAAACCTTTTATAGAATTGTTTTCATGTTTCTGTCTTCCATTGAAATGGTAGCCGTAAGGATAGTAAGAAAAAATATTGTGGTGGCTAAATAGGTGAATTTTATTCACTGGTTAAAAATATATTAGATCTTAATTTAATAAGTTGAATATGTTCATTTTTTTGAAAATTGAAAAGTTTGTCTACTTTATATAATTTGTTTTATAACGAATACCCATGGTATTAAATTTTCACCATCATAAATATAGACATAATATTAATAACAAGAATTTTAAACTGATTTAAAAAGGATAAAATACTTATTTATTAATTTAAATAAAATTTATAAATTAGTTGGTGACATCGATATTTTTATAAAGTGTAGAAGGATGATCACAATCTGACAGTTTGGCCGAGTGGTCTAAGGCGCCAGATTTAGGCTCTGGTCCGAAAGGGCGTGGGTTCAAATCCGACAGCTGTCAATTTTTACTGTTTAATTCACTTTTACACTATAATTTTGAATGCAAATGCGAAATGCCAAATAAAATACAACTTTATTCATCAGGACTCGGGAGGCATGTATGTGATTTATTATTTAAATTATTTACCAATCCAAAAGTATTTATAATAATATACTTTAAACCCTAACACCTTAATAAATACTTTTGTAATTTCTGGTTCATTCGCAAGTATTTGCAATAGTATATCTTAAACCCTAAAATGCTAGAGTCCTAAAAGTTTGTTAGATGATCATAATTATAAAAAGTAGGAAATATAGCTAGTATAATTTTTTTTAAATGTAAAATTAAGTATTGAAATAGAACATTTAAGAATTGAAGGTAGAAAATTAAAGAAGTTAAGACTTAAGAATTGAAAATTAAATAAATGTGAATGTTTAAAGAATTGCCAAAATATGATTTAAAAATTATATAAAAAGATTAAAAAAAAAGTGGAATAGATAGAGGTAGTGAATGTGGTGAGTCATGGCAATACTATGAATTAATTACTAATCCTCCTCCTAGAATAATGTTGCTCAATGTGTTGGGCTTTAAGGTTTGTGAGTTCGAATTCTTATATTTCCATGTTATTTAATAAGAAAAAATTAATAATCCTCCAAGGTCTAAATTCTCCCCCTGTAATTTAATGTTTTAATCTTAACTAACTTTTTAAGAAAAAGAATAGTCAACTTAATATTGTGCGTACCTCTCACAGGAAAGAGTTCCACCTTAGAGTTTTGATGATTTAAAAGTTAGTTCGGTTTTTCCTTTTAAAAATATCATAATTAGTTTAAATGTAATTAATTAGTAAACCATAATTATCAATTAGCTTAATATATATGATGTCATAATTTTAAGATATAAGTTGAATTATTTTCTTTCGTGTGGAAAAGTTAAAATTATAGTAAAACTTAAAAATGAAAGAAAAATTGATAGTTTTGAGAACATAGACCATGGTTTTTACTTTAAATTAAAAGGAAAAATATTTCTTATTACTGTCATTATGTCATAAAGTGATGAGATTTGGTTAAATTCATGACCACATTCGCCATATTATATATTTAATGAAAGATATAAAAAAATTCTCTTCATACCCTAAAACATTAAACATTAAAATTATGGCTAATAAATTTCTCAAAAATAAAATAAAATAAAAGCTAATAAAAGCTAATAAAAACTATTTACATAAATCTTAAACCCTAAATCTTAAAAGATATTTTATATTAAACAAAACCCTAGAACCTAAGTCCTAAATTCACAAAACTCTGAACTCTAAAAGATTTTAATTGTTTCCTTATATTGCCCCTTTGACACAAAATCTAATTTATCTTAATGTATACTATATACTTTTTGGTTTTGCTTGTTTATTGTTTACTTATATAGATTTTTTTTTTCCTTCTAAATATCAGATTTAGCTGCCTAATTATCATGGGACATATGAATGTTGGTTATGTGTTAAATGAATGGAAGTATTATTGATGGGCCAAACGGTATAGAGTATGATATACCACCATGTCTTCAAATAAATGTTGTTCGTGAAATTCAATTAGATTCATTTGTTGATTATTTATGTGACAGATTATCTATAGATAAAAATCAAGTATTAGAGGTCATATTTAGATATGGAAGTATCCGTTCGACAAAGGTCTACTTTCTATGTCCCTATAAGATTACGAAGTGAGAATGATTTTAAATTTATGATGAACATCGTTCCATCCCTACCAATTACAACATATATTTTTATTACTCAACCAAACATTGAAAATCCAGTTCTAAGTAGACAAGTAAAAAAGAGGAAAATTGTAATGAAGAAGAGGCAGAGAATGTAGAACCAATGGTAGAGTTGGCTCATGATAATTATCATGACCCAACTATCGCTACAAATGATGAAGAGATTTTAACTGATGATGATGCTAGTCTAAGACAACCAAATGACGTTTATCGAGATTATGAAGAAGTTCCCCCTTTTTTCTACGAGTTAGATATATGGATGTTATTAATTCTATAACTGAGTCTACAATGGAAGAAGAAAGTCGCGACCCTGATTGCTTGCACAAGGGAAAATCGAAGTCAGAGTTAAAAAATGTGGTCAAAAGTTATTCTATTTTACATCGTCAACATTTTGAAGTGGTCGACTCAAATAAGAGAATTTGAGCTATCAAATGTAAAAAACATGACAATGGTTGCATGTGGCGACTTCGTGCTAGTTATCTTAAAAGACATAGAAGATTTGAGATTACACAATATAATGACACACATAGTTGTGTTGATTCAAGATCGAGCCAAGATCACGATCAATTAGACCCCAATCTCTTATTGCTTCAGAGGTATACAACGTTGTAAAGTCGGACCCATCTGTCAGTGTTAGAACATTACAAGAAATGATATTGAAAAAATATGGATATTCGGTTAATTATTCGAAAGTATGGAGTGGAAAAAAAAAAGCTATTGTTAATATTTTTGGAGATCGTAGGAGAAGATGACACCGAAGGGGAGATAATATCCGTGCTGATGATCCAGTTGAGCATGAAGTAGAAGACCAAGCTCCCACATCTCCTGATGATCCATCATCTTCTAAACGATGAGCATGAACACTAAAGTTTTTTTTTTCCCTCTAGCAATAAAATTGTTTGTAGATCTGTAATCGAATGAACTCTCAATGCTACTGAACTTTATCTATAATTATTTTGTTTTTTCTTTCTTAAAAAAAAAAACAAGAACTTATCTACAATTAGTTGGCATTTATCTTAGTCTTAAAATTTATAGTAATTTTCGTTAAGAGCATTAATATTTATATCTTAAGATTAAGATTACGGAAAAAAAAAGGTTTAGCATAGTATTATTGTTATTACAATTATGTAAATTTATAATTTCACTTTATACTAATTCTTTTCATTTTTATTTTATAATAAAAATTGGTATATAAGTTAATGTGTAGCTAATTTTATAATAACAAATTTTATTTATTAAATGAGTAGAGTTTAATAATGACAATAAACCTGGTTTTTTTCCAAAAGAAAGACAAGGCGAATAATCCAATTTTTTAAAACTTCTTTTAAGATAAAAATATATATAATGTATCATATTGATTATTTAGGAAAGGATAATCACCGTTGACTTTGAGATGGGTTCATCCATAATTGGTCAATAATAGTTATGGATAATATATAATAATGAGACTAAATAATAAAATACGCCTTCTTTTATTCACTTAAATTTTAATTTTTTTTAGTATAACATATGAAAGAGAAGATTCGAACTCACCATCTTTAAATCGAAATAGATGGTTTAATAGAATATGTTCAACATTGTATTGACCTAAATAATTTCGAAACTTATGTTTTTTAATATATTTTTTAAAAGGGGGCCAAACTCATCATCAATGCCTCCCTCAAATGACAAATCTACCCAATATGGAGTGCCCACAAATCAGCACGTATTTTAATATCTTAACCTAGTTGTCCATTATTATACAATATGTTAAATAATTAAGTGCATATATTAATTGTAGTATCCATTCCAACTCAATTATCAAATGAATTTCCATCGACTCCTACAAATACTAAAATGCGTTGGTTCACTTTTTGTATCCATAACATGATTTTGGATAAAAATATTCCAAAGCAAAGGGAATAATATTTAATACAAAAATACATATTTCCCCTGTCATTTAATCTATAGTAAAATTACAATACACACACTCAAAGCTAAAGTTAAAAAAAAAAGTCACATTTTTGTAGATTTATTTTCCAGGAACAAAGTCGGTGGCGTAAGCCCAAGCATTGTTGTTGACTGGGTCAGCCAAATGGTCAGCAAGGTTCTCCAATGGACCTTTTCCGGTGACAATAGCCTGAACGAAGAAACCAAACATGGAGAACATCGCCAACCTTCCATTCTTAAGCTCCTTCACCTTCAGCTCTGCAAATGCTTCCGGGTCATCTGCAAGTCCCAACGGGTCAAAGCTCCCACCCGGGTAGATCGGGTCGGTCACCTCGCCGAGTGGACCACCGGCAATACGGTATCCCTCGACGGCTCCCATTAGAACTACTTGGGAAGCCCAAATGGCTAAAATGCTCTGTGCGTGGATCAAGCTGGGGTTGCCCAAGTAGTCGAGCCCACCTTCATTGAAGATCTGAGATCCAGCCTTGAACCATACCGCTTCCCCGAATTTCACACCGTTGCGGGATAGAAGCTC